TCCCCTGCTCTGTGTGGCATATGAGCGTCAACACCGGAGCTCAAAAGCAGGGCAGCCACGGGCCCGGCGCTGTGCGCGAGGTAGAGTTTTCTGGGCCCTCTTTGGGGAGGGATGCGGTTGCGGGGGGTGCGGCTGCGGTCCCCCTCCGCATGTGGGGTCGTAGCGGAAGTGTCTGCGGCCGGTGGGCCATCTGTACTATCGGAAGAGTCGTCGGAGGACTCCTCAGACGACTCCGGGTCTTGGGCGCCCCCAGACGCGGAGCACGGCATGTACTCAACGACCAACACAGCACAACTATCGCATCGCAGATAGGTCACACCATTCCGCGATTCCTCAACACCCCCATGGATGCAAACCTGGTGGTCGTCCGGGAGCCAGTCCCGGAAACGGTTCTCAAGCTCTGTCAAGGGCACGGCTCCGCCCTCAGGATACGCCAGGAGAGTCCTTGTAGTATCGCACGCAGGTCAAGGAAAACCACAACCTGGGGCGCGTGCACCCTGCCGGGTGGGACGGGTACACGGCGCAGGCCCTCAGTGGCAAGCAGGACTGCCTCGCAGGGCGTCCCCAGGTGCATGCAATCAGAGATCTTGGGGCGGCTCAACCTGCACGTCAGGGAGTCGACAGAGCAAGAGAGTGCGGCCGCGGCCGCGGCACGGAAGTCGTCAAGCTCTCTGATCACCCGCCTATCTATCTGTGCGAGCCGCGGCAAACCATCTGTGAGGAGCAGGAAGGTGTTCTTGCTATCGGCGACAGGTCTAGGGGTGTCGGTCGCCCACATTCCGGCATGGTTGAGCTTGAAGGACAGATCGAAGAGGCGCGGCAGGAGGGAGTCTTGTGGCAAAATGGTCACCAGGTCCCCCTGCTCGAAAGTCAAAGGTCGCCCGGCCTGCACCCGACTATGCCGCACATACACGGTGAGGCCGCTGCGCCCATCAAGACCTGTCTGCAGGAGGAAAGACCCCCACTGCATCCATGGGTCAACAACAAGGGAGAAGATCCTCCCATCGACTTGCCCTGAGTCGATCAAAATGATAGTCTTAGCCTCGGCCCACGGTGGCAAGGCAAGGATGCAACCGTGATCAACATGAGGTTGGGGACGGACCGGAAGCATGAACTCGAAGCGTACACCGGCATCGAGTCCCCTGGCAAGGGACAACAACTCACCTGTCTCACTTTCTCCGGCTGGGAAATCAACCTCGATGCTGACCAATTCTGGAGTGCAACATGGCGCATAGATTGCGAAGTGTGCGGTCTTAGTGACAAAGTGCACTTCGAAAAGGCCCTCTCCAACCTGTATTGCGGCTTGACCCCCCGGCTCACAGGCCCGAGCAGAAATCGTGGCCACAGTACCTGGAAGGACCTGCAGTTGTGAGTCCCTAGAGTTGTGCCCGTGCACATAAGCTTCAAAACCGGTTGGGAGGTGATAATCGACCAAATCCAGCAGGGTGCTGGCGGGTTGGGAACCCGACGGCGCTTGCACTACAATGAGCCCACAACCCAAATCTCTGGCATCCAAGAAAACGGGAACCCTGGTAGCGGAGCCATCAATATGCACCTCGTCGCGCACTACCGCGCCCAGAATGCCACTAACGGCGCGTCCGCCCTGTAGGACAGTCAAGGCAAGGGCACTATCTGTAGGTGCAGTAAAGGTCACCTCGTCCTCAGATTTGCGTAGCTTACGGAGAACCTGGTCCCGCAGGGTGCCAGGGTCGTCGTGCTCATGCGGCACAACTGACATCGAATGCTCACATAGGACGAGCCAAGATGGGGGCCCCTCACCGAGGAAGGACCCAGGTACAACACCAGGACGGAAATCCTCAGCTGCAAGGACACCTATGATGTCCGTGGCAAGGGTAGGGAACCCGCTAAAAGGGACAAACCTAAGGACCGAACCCGATAGTATCCGAAGGGTGCCCTCTTGGCGTTCAGGGTCATCGTCAAGAAAGACTGTCCATGCCTCGAGACGATACTGGTCGGCAATTCGTTCAAGCACGTGGGGCTCGATAACGACGGGCATATAGGCTGCGAAGACGACCTCGTGAAAGGCGGAGAGATCGATAATGACAACTCTCTGTCCAGAGTACGCAACCCACTGTGGGATCTGCACAAACGTGAGGAATGCATCGTTCGGCTGAACTGCAGCAGGCAGAAGGATGCTATGCTCGAGGGAACCATCCTGTACCAAACCTGCTCTCACAGTTTGACAGAGCACCGACTCATCGATGTGAACAGGCTGTTGGAAGTGCAAAACAGCCGTGCGGAAACCCGGACGCAGGACGGCCGCAGGCACCAGAGCGGCGGCGTCTGTTGCAATATCTCCTAAGGGAGGCCAGGTGGAAAAACCCGTCCTAGAACCCGGGAGAAAGGGGGAGGTGGACAGGACGCTGTCAATCCGAGGACCGACAGTTCGATCCAAGGCAGGGGTGAGGCCGCCCGCCGGGCACATTCCTTGTACGCTGTACGGTAAGCTAGCAAAGCCAAGCAAGGCACAGAGCAAATGGGAGAAGCGCGGGCCTCTCGAACTGACTGGTCGCGTTTTTTGGGAGACGCGGGGAAGTCGTGACGTGCACCTCTCAAGATTCCCCTGTACGAGTGGCGAAAACACACCAAGGCACAGGAGGCATTTGGGTGGGACCCCCTTAGTCGGGAGCTGCACAAGTCTGCTCAAAGGCGAGTCGTGCCTCGGAAGACGCCATAGGAGAAGCTTGCAGAGCGCCAAAAAGAGTAAGCCGAGGCAGCTCCTTGCCAAGGGCACGACAAAGGACCCCAGGGCTTGCAGGACTAGAACCCCTAGGCAAGGGGGTGGGCAAGGAACCGGGGTTCCAGATGAAGGGAGGCTAAACCCTACAGTGCCGGGGGCTAGGGAAAGATATGCAGCGCGGTGAGTGGCTCCTGCCCCTGAGCTACCGATGCAGGTATTTAGCGCCCACTCCCACGAAGCAAGAAAATCGAATTGTGTCCTCAGGCCAGCAAGAGGAGGGGCCTGAGGAGGCGGGGGGATCGGAAGGACACTCCCAAGAAGGGGGGCACATCCAATCCCAGAGGAGAGTGGGGACAAAGCAGGACCTCCATCACAAACCCAGTGATGGAAGATCCCGCCAGCCCCAGGAAGTTCGAAGGCACCTGAGATAGGACCAGGACAGGAGGAAATTGAAGACCCGGAAGGGGGGCCAGCAGGCCCCTGGTGAGGCGTCCGGAGAGGGGTGACCTCGCAAAGACAAGTCCACTGCACACACCGCCTTACAACGGCCAAAACTGTACAGCTACGGGTCTGGTAGTGAAACTGTCCCGGTGCCAGATTTGCAGTGGCATGCAAGTCCTCACCAGTGCAACGACCGAGGGGGAACGAAGCGAAAGGGGACTTCCCCACTGAAGTCCCACAGTCGCTTGGCCCTCCCAGCTCGCAAAGGTGAGGTCCGGCAAGCCGCTGCACAATCGGCAGAGACCTACTCAGGGTTAGTCCTCGCCCTGTGTATCGTCGTCCAGGAAGTTGATGCTGCCAGGGCCACCTCTTTCGTCCACGCGGCCTGCCCCTTCGTCGTTGCCTGTGTGGTGTGAGGGCGGCGCGCCAAAGGGTTCCATGGCCCTGCGTCTTCGGAGGCGCTCCCCGTTTCCTGGGCTGGGGCCGTAGGTCATCTCGCCTTCCCCGGCGGCAACGGGAGCCAAACCAGGCGGGGGGCCAGCTCCGCCCGCGCCCCGCATCATCTCGTGTGGGCCTGGGAAGGCAGCCGCGTGGCCCGCTACAGGGGCACCTGGCGGCAGTCCAGAAGCCAGCCCACTCGTCATCGTGTGCACACCAGCTGAAGGTTCCGGATGGCCAGGGAAAACAAGGGGCGCTACGGTTGGCCCGTGTCCCGTCAGGATCGGTGGTCCGGTAGGAGCCAAACCCACCTCTTCGGTTCCAGCTGTCGTCGAGGGGCCACTTCCCATGGGCATGTGCCCCATGCCTGGCGAGACCAAGTAGGGATCCCGGTCCACCGTCGTAGCATACTGACTCGGCACAGCACCTGGGAAAGCAGGAGTGTGGGGTGTGCTTGTGCGCATCCTGGACGGAGTACGGGCACTCGGGCTGCCCCCAAGGCATCTGTGCAAAACCGCCGTAAGGTGCGAATCCTCCTCCTGCAGCCACGAAGCGAAAAGCTGGTCCGTCTGGCTGGGCTCCACGGCCATCGGTGCGGGCCCTTGATTGATGGTCCTTCGGACCGTCTGCCGGGCAACGGCCTGCGCTTGTTCTGCCTCGGCGGTCTCCCTGGCCAGTCTGTCCTTGAGCGCCACGAACCGCTCCCATTCCTTCTGGAAGTTCATCTTGGACTGGGCCTCGAAATACTGCCACTTTGACTGTGCGGTGGCCGTCTGTGCTTTGAGCTTCGCCACCCTTTGCTCGGCCTTGCGAGCCCCGTTGAGTGCGTTTTGCACAGCACCGACCAGAGTGTCGTCGTCCTCCACGGTGATGACGGGGGCACCCCGGCTCGGGGCGGCAGCCCCTGTGGACGGCACCACCACATCGTCGAAGCCAGGGAAGCGGGCACCAGATCGCGGTCTCGGACGGTCCTTCCACGGTTCTTGACCAGCAGAGGGCGAGAATCCCCCACGCCAATAGTGCCAGCTTTCTGAATCGTCCCAGCCTGCTTGCCCGGCCTTTGCTTTCGGCCATGGTTTCTGCCCTCGTCCCATGCGGCGAAGCAGAGTGGTCCGATAAGCCAGCGAAGTGGCGTGGTGGAAGGCCAAGCGCAGTGTGGAGGCTCGGCTCACGGGTCGGCCAGCTTTGATGGCGGCACGGGCCCTGGACCTGCGTCTCCTTTCAAGACGGTGTCCTGGCGGAGACTTCGTCTCCAGCGTACCTAGGGTACTGGGGCTACAGCGATCGTCCCGCTGTTGGGACGTGTTCTGAGCCCTAGCATCATAATAAAGTAATATACAAATATAATAGAATATATAATTCATACTGCTGGCACAGTTTGGGTGATACTTCTGCGTGTTCTTTAGTCGAGACTGGCGAGGCGCCTTTCGCCCAAGCGCCTGGTGGTCGTGGCCAGCAGCGACCGCGAGTTGAGGCAGAACTGAACGTAGGAGAAGTAGTGCATAGGGTTTAGGGGTTTAGGGTTTTGGGTTTTGATTCTGGGCGTAACAAAAGCTAGATAACATATATCAGGAGCAGCACATTAAGTACTACTACTACTACTACTACTACTCCTCCTACTACTACTACTACTACTACTGCTACTACTCCTACTACCAGTACTACTACCACTACTACTACTACTACCACTATTACCACTACTACTACTACTACTACTACTACTACTACTACTACTACTACTACTACTACTACTACTACTACTACTACTACTACTACTACTACTACTACTACTACTACTACTACTACTACTACTACTACTACTACTACTACTACTACTACTACTACTACTACTACTACTACTACTACTACTACTACTACTACTACTACTACTACTACTACTACTACTACTACTACTACTACTACTACTACTACTACTACTACTACTACTACTACTACTACTACTACTACTACTACTACTACTACTACTACTACTACTACTACTACTACTACTACTACCACTACCTACTACCACTACCACTACCACTACCACTACCACTACCACTACCACTACCACTACCACTACCACTACCACTACCACTACCACTACCACTACCACTACCACTACCACTACCACTACCACTACCACTACCACTACCACTACCACTACCACTACTACTACTCCTCCTCCTACTACTACTACTACTACGACTACTACTACTACTACTACTACTACTACTACTACTACTGCTCTGTACTACAACGACGACGACTACTACTACACCCCCTGCTACTGCTACTGCTATTGCTACTTCTGCTTCTACCTCTACTTCGGGGTGTGCTACAACGACGACCACTGCTACTACTACCTCTACTACTGCCACAGCACAGTACCATCTCTGAAGGCAAAGATCGGAATCCTCGCCGGAGACGCCAAAGCAGCAGCCGGGCTCCCGGGATTCGATTTCGAGTTGGGGACTCGCACTTCGAGAAAGGCGCTACCGTAGGGTATCATTTCTTTGCACATGCTTCGGCATCACGCTTTCCCATCCAATATCCTTCATCACTGGTGCCACTTGCAGCGCTTGGCTTGTGCAACCAAGACCAGGTCAAATTTCGCTTGGAAGTCCCATCATGTTGCACCTGAAATTCCCTGAGAATCCCTCGTTTCATGCCAGAGGCTCCGGCGCATCCGCCGTGAACGAAGCGGAGGACACCAGGGCCATTGGGAAATTGAGACTTGCTGCAACCCCCAGCTTTCCTTTCGGTCGGTCAGGCCTGGGCCTGGTATCCGAATCGACGAGCATCAGTTGGGAAGAAGTCCACTGTGTGGTTTGTTCTGGACGTCGTCGTCACTGTCGATAGTGCCGTTGTTGCAGTTGCAGCGGCTTCTGTTAGTAGTGGTGACGTTGCCGGTACTAATGTTTTCACAGCTGAATATGTGAACTGGCTACTGCTAGGAAACATTCTAAAGCAACTACCGAAGCTGACTATGCAGACGGAGACATGACTCTACGCTCTATACACAGGATCTCGAGGATTTGCGACATGGGTTTCCTCGACGCTCGCCTGTATCATTCCAGCTGATTCTGGTGGCGTGATGTGGAGTCAGAGACCAGGTCACGCACAAGCCCTCGGCCACCCAATCCTAAACCTTGTAGGCCATGCCTGAACAAAGCTTTCATCCTAATTAAGCCTCACTGCAAAGCCTAGCCCCTTACTCCGAACCCCAAAACCCTAAACTAATTCAGCTAATCAAACCAGGCCATTACAGGTGCCGGAATAAACAGCCAGAGGATGCCCTTCTCGTTTCTGGTACAGTTGCCCCCAAACTTCCCAAACCTCTATTAACTAGTCATTAAGCCCCCTTGGTTGAAACCCAATTACGCCTATCACGACGCAGCTTTAAGCTGACCCCCCCCAAACCCTAGACCCTAGCCTAAACCCTAAACCCTAAACCCCGATCCTAGCCAAGGCTCGCGAGGGGCGAATTCCAAGAGCTCCTCCGCGGCACGCCGGTGCCCCCACTGCCCGAGGGCCTCGCCTCTCTCCACGCGGAGGCCAGACCAAGTAGTGTGTGTAAGGTCCCTTTTTCGGGATCTTTATAGGGGTTGCGTTTGAAGGGGCCTGTATGGATGACTACAAGTGACTAGAAGGGCGAATATATGGAGATACTATAGAGGGGCTTATACGGTCCCGTTATGGGATCTATAAGGGCTCTACTCATAATAGGGATCCTTTAAAGGGGTCTGGAAGGGCTACTATAAGGGCAATGATGAGGGTTTAGTGTAGCGGCCAAAAATTACCAAAGCTATTTTGGGGGCCCTATTATAATTATCGTATTATGGGCCCCTAAGTTCATGGGTAGCGATAACTGAGATTATGACTATAGATGTCCTACTTATGACGCTACTTCTATCTACCCATGACCCTCCAAGTAGGATTGCTGAAGTGTGACCCCCCTTTCCTTTGGTCATTCGGGTGGTTAAGATACAGTGTGGCTCAGCTTTGCTAGATGGGCAGCTACCTTGCTGGACACATATACTTCGCCGGGTGTGCCGCTCACCATGCGCTATCGTCGTCGCTGAGTTGTGAGGCCCAAGAAAAGCTGCACCTCCTAACCACGGCAGGTTTGCATTCTTGCCTGACAACAAAGCCTCCACACCCAGTGACGAATACGGTCTGGTTTCCGTCAGCACTGGTCACAACATCCCCTCTTTCACCCGGTTACCCTCATCCCTGTAGCATCCCTAAACCCTGAACCCTGAATCCTATTCTCTATTCCCTATAAGCTCAAGGACTTTTAAACCCTACAACCATGAACCCCTGACCCCCAAGCCCCAAACGCCCTAAACTCGAAGCCTAAAGCCTCAAACCCCGACAGCCTTAAAGTTCCTAGTCGTAGAGCAGGTAACCTTTAGCCTTTTGTGGGTAGTATAGTCCCCATATAACCCCTACATAGCCAACAAGGTTAACCTTTAGTTCCCCATGATACCCGACAAGTAGGAGTTCGAAACCCACAGGAGCAAAGCCAACGCCTGGACAGCCTGAAGAGATCTTACGTCGAACCCAGGCCGGTGCCCAGATTTCGCAATAAGCACCATATCATAGCGGTGCCAATTTGATAAGTTCAGGTAGAGCAATTCCGTGCGATCAACGGTAATTGCGCTTGCACAGCTGTCCTCAAGATGTTGTCGTTGAGTTCAGTGTTGACTCCAAGCCCTACAATCGACGTAATGCCCGGCAGCCCTGCGCAGAAGACCCTGAGATTTCCCGGGAATTGAGTTGTGTACACAAGCACCTGGTACTCTCGTTGGATTTCAGGTTCTTGAACACTTCTACTTACAGTTTCAGGGCACCCATTGATGCAACGTGCATTTGCAAGGGAGCAGGTGGGTGAATTGTAGCGCTAGTCTTTCTCGGTAGTGCATCTTTCTCATCCTGCCTTCTTCCTCAGTCACTTGTCTTCCAATAGGACGCTCTCTGATGCTTTCGGACTAGGTTGAATATCGGCAGTAGTGCGACAAGTGGTAATTCGTAGCGAATTTATCTGTACTGTAAGAGCCACATCAGCAACACAGGTCAATTTGGTGATGGTTACCAGGGTGGGAATGCGTGAAGAGTGAACAGAACTTACTATCCCATTCTTGATTGATACCGAGATGCTACCGGTAGAAACGTGAGTAACAGTACGGCAACAGGCTCATAACATACTATATTACTTTAGTATATTACAGTATGCGATACGACAAGATACGACATTATACCATAACTACTGGAAACATACTGAGAAATACTAGACAGTCTCGGTGGCAGAGATGCGATGTTGCCTCGAGGCTTGACGGGTTACTCCGCAGATTCGTCAGGTTCGCCTATCTTGAAGCCCTGACGCCTTCATCCCTAATATACAAAAAACGATAAACAAAAACTTTACCAATATATTACGATAACCCTTTCCCGGCCCAACCAGGGAACGCCGCCGGCAAGCAGCCCGCAGGCTACAGGAATGGTTCGCCACCAGGGCGAGGTGGAACTCGCACATTTTGGGGGGGCTTGGCGGGGAGTTGATGGTTTGCAGCATAATATGTCTGAACTGGGTTGTGAGGTTCTCTAGTCTACAGAGTTGTAGAGGGGTTCCGGGATTTACGAGTTGGGATGGTGATTGGGGTTTCGGTTTCCCACACGGCCGAACGCATGGATCCGCAATTCGTGTTTGAATGGGAATGGCAGTGCTGCACTCACTCTAGGGCAATGTCCCGCAAAGTTGACGTGCTAATGAGGATGCTGCACAGGAGCCCTCACAGAGCACCTTTGGTTCCCTTACAGTATGTTCTTGCTGTGCTGTGTAAGGTAATTGTCAAAGCCAATATAGCACTATTATGGGGGCGCCTGCTGTCCATGAGGTTGGTATGGGTGTTTAAGGAAGCCCGCATGGAAAAAGAAAGCCCATGAACTATGAAACCCTATAAACCCATCAACAGGGGGCTGAAATTCACATAAAGGCCTATAGAGCGCCATGCCCTTCCAAAACTGCTTGGCACCGATGGTAGACAAAACTGAGCCTCAAGTCGAAGAGCTCTTCGCTTGCAGGTTCAAGCGAGAGCAAGGGGATGCTCGGCAAGAAGCCAGTACGGAAGAGACACTAACGCACAAATGGGCGACACACTTGCGGCGACAAGAACAATAGTCCTAGTAAGCAACAACAACAACCACAACATAGAACAACAGCAACAGATACCGACACCGACAACAGCACTAATAGCTACAGCAACAGCAACAGCGACAACATGCGACAACAACACCAGCAAAATCAGCACCCACCACCACCACCACCACAACAACAACAACAATAGCACCAGCATCAGCATCAGCATCAGCAACAGCAGCAACAACAGCAAGCTCGAGATCACAAATGACAGCATGCAGCATTTACAATTGTAAGGGCAGCAGCAACTCGAATCACAACGACGACCTTGATGATGAACGAACATGACAGCAAGATCACTGCCGTGGACAGAGCTGGTCAGTACGATGTCAATGCTGGCACATGGTTTCGCGATGTATGGTCAGAAAGCCGCTGGTTTGACGTCATGTCTGCTCGCTTATCAGGGCTTGTAACAGATAGGCAAGTAGGTGGTAGGTGGGTAATGCAACTGGGCGCAGGCGTACATGCGGCTGCTTGCATACGTGCCATCTGTGTCTGTACAAAGGCGGGTGTGCGGGTAGGTACGTAGGCATTTAGAATTTAGGCGCATATGTACATAATGTACACATGTACATGTACATATCTGGACATTTCTTTTTGCATGTCGTCTGGGCCTGCATATGCGCATGTGCGTGTTTATTCATTCTGTTCATGTCTATCTTTCTGTCTATCTGTCTGTGTTTTTGTTTTGGAGTTCTTATTCTCAGTCTTATTCCAATTATCATAGTTGTTCTTGTTCTTATTCTTAACATATTTATTGTTGTGGTTATCATTGTTTCATGCTTTCTATTTTTGTTAATATTGTCATTATTCTCAATTTTTTGTAGTACGGTAACATCTGTAGTGATCATGTTTGGTATTACTGTTTTGTTAGCATAGTACTATAGTTTCAAAGTATAGCATTTATTTTCACATTATGTGTTGATGTTATTCAATGTTATATCATATTATCTAGTAGTATATCCTCTATAATATGTATGCACGTATAGATAGATAGATAGCTAGATTTGCAAGACCATCGCCACGTCGACGAGCCACCTAGACTTTCAGTAAGATGAGTGCAACATAATGTTTGAACAAGAATCGACGGTAGTGAACTGAAGCCAGTCGAACTTTCAACAAGCTTCGAAGAAGGCATAGGCCGACTTGAAGCAGCCAGAGGTCCGGTATCAGTCTTCTCGCATCATCTGAGAATCTGACACCTGGATCCTTACACGGAAGTAGCGACATCCACTCCTAAGGCCGACAATGTGACGCTGAGTGTGTCTCTTGCCACTGACCCCGACCTGCTTGCGGCTCTCACAGCGTTGGAGAGTGCGGGAAAATGCAGTGCTGCCATCTGTTTTCTTCAGAGCGTCGTTCATTTTTTCTAGCCTTGTAGGCGTTACATCAGAAATGCGTCGGTTTGTGCAAGCTGCATTGAGGCTCTGCATAGACCCGCGCAGGGCGACTACAGTAGGAAGACTTCGGCTTAAATGACCGCCGAGGCTCCAGATGAAGCAGCTCTGTGCCGTTCTCACCGGCATGCAGGCCCTTTTTGCAGAAGTGGGGCGTGGCCAACAGGGCTGGTCCTGGTCAGTGGACATTAGGGCCTTGACATATCTTGACACCCAAAGCCCTAGTCCCTCAACTCAATCTCTGATTGTGGAACCACAAAGAATTTTCAGACAAGATGGAGAGGCAGAATACTAGGAGCAGTAGGATGCCATATATGACGACCCTCCAACAAGAACCCCCATAACACCCCCTCCGCAGCCTCATACAAATGTTACTAAGCCCCGGTATCATCCTCAAAAGAATCCATAAGAATCCACTAACCTTAAAGCCTTTTAAGTGCCCTTCAACGTCCGCACCTGAACGCCGACACCCTTGATTTGACGGCGCTCCCGGCAAGGTCTCGCACAACTACGAGCAGGGCCAGCAGCTGTTGCAGAATCGAGACTTCAGCACCAAGTGGGTTTCTGAGAATGAGGGGAAATTTAAGGGTTTAGGGTTTAGGGTTGAATAATAAGGAGAAATATTCCCTGATTCGCAATATTACAACCTGTAGCAGAATATTCACCCAAACCCTTTACCGAACTATTACGGCATCCATATTATGGCATTTAGCGGTCTTTACAATAAACGTGGGTCCTTTTATGTTCTGAAACTCACAGGTGCAGAGGGTAGTGCAGAAGCTACTCAACTGGTCCATGGATCTAAGGGTCAGCGTTTAGCATCAAAGTTTTGGATTTGCTGGTCTGCACAGTCTACTTGCTGACATTCCGAGGTTACACCAGCACTTGCCAGGTGTCGCATTACTTGGAGGTTCATGGGTAGTTGTAAGTAGGGTTTGTAAGTAGGATAACAGTTATAACCCAGATTGGGAGACGTATACACTCTTCTTACAACTACCCATGAACCACCAAGATCCTCCAAGTAGAGCTTGCAGGCCTCAGTCTCTTCAGAGAGATGTGTTGGATTTTCGGATGCCGCAGGCCTGTCAGAAGATCTGTGACGCGCCTTGAAACCTCTCGCCCGAGGGCTCTGTGGGGCATTCATAAACTGATGGCTGTAAATTTATATACGGGCCCAAATAATTATCTGTAATATTTTGGGGGCTCCTTATTATTATTAGTATTATAGTATACAAGGCCCCAAAACCCTATTCTAAGTTTTAAGGCCCCTATAGTACAGCCCAAACCCCCAGCCTAACACTCGCTTCGAAACGCTAAAACTCCCAACCCCCAAACTTTGTAAACTCGAGCGCATGCGGCCCTAAACCCTGCTTGGTTCCCTTCCAGGTCTGCCTTCTTCCAGACCGTGCTGGAGATAGGATCGGATGGCTCCACTTGGTTTTGAACCGTTGCAGTATGCATCTAGCAGTTGACTCGATGGGGTTGCATTCGTATATGCAGCCATGTAGACGATGACAGTACGTATCTTGCCAAGTGGTTCAGGACGGCGGTACAAGATCTTGAACCCAGAGCGCATGCGCGATTCATATGGGAAGCTGATGTATTTCCTCCAGGACGGGATCGGAGAGCCCATTGTTGTGACTACTGCGGTAGCTTTGACTATCAGTGATACTCTGGTACTGGCTGCGATTGCAATGAGCTGCTTCGTTTGTCTGCTGTTGCCCTGTTCTCTCTGCTAGTCAGTGTTATCAGTCTGTGTTGCTAGTACGGCTACAGCCCTCTTGAGCTGATTGTCATGATTACTAACAGCATTGCCACTCTCATTGTTAACTTGACTCCTGTCATTGCTGTTGTGAATAACGGTATGAGTATGACTTACGACCAGCATGACCGGTAGCCCTTGCTTTCTATTTCCGCCTTGTAGCGTACTTTCCACCTAAACCCTAGACGTGAAAACCCTAAACCCCATTCAAACCCTAAAGCCCCAAACCCTAAAACCTTGTAAGCCCTAAGCCTTCTACACTTAAAAACAAAAGAAACCCTAAACCCCTTTCCACAAGAGTTCGGCCCTCCTGCGTGACTGTTGATGATATAAATCCTGCATTACCTTAAGGACCCGAACCTATGGGAATTATGGTATGTTCCTTATTATGGGTCATGCAGGATTTATATGGGAGTTTCCCAAAATAGGGGACCTTCATATAGTACCCTAAATAGTAGGATCCTTATTACAAGGACCCCAATATAAGGTAGCCCTTTTTTCGTAAACTCCCATATCATCAACCTTTATCTCCCCTAAACCCTAAACCTTAAAGCCCACTATAGATCCCTTAAAGGAGCCCCCTAAAGGTACCCTTATAGATCACTATCATCAACCGGAGGACTCCAGAAAACCCGAGGTTCGCGATCTTTTGGAGCCTCTTCCTCGGAGAAGCGAAGCCGAAGACGAAGAGGGGGTCATGAGATCATGCTTAGCCCTAAGGCTCTAAGGACTCATATATTAAGGTTTTTGGGTCCAAAGGTAGGGGTTTGGTGATTAGGGGTTTTAGGCTTTGGGGGGTAGGGGTTTTAGGGTTTGGGGTTTAATTAGGGGTTTTAGGGTTTGGCGGTTAGGGGTTTTAGGGTTTGGGGTTTAGGGCTAGGGGGCTTAGCATCTAGGTTTTCTGCAGGAAGAGGCGTATTAATCAGGAAGGGGTGGTAGCGTACGATGAGGCGGCTTTCGGGGTTCCGGTCGCAGGTTTCAGGAAATACATTAACAAAGGCTTCCAGAGCCTACCAGCTCCTACACCCTTTGTTTCCAGAGTTTCAGAGCTCAACCAGGTTCTCATGTGTAAGGCTTGGTCTTTGGCACTGGTGCAATATCTGCGCGCTATGTTTCAGCAGGGCATTGGACCGGATACACTTCGATTGGTGAACCACAGGGCCTATATCGTGCCCTCAGCCTTCATGTAGTAGGATCCTTAGTGTACTTAGTAGCAGTGTTTATAAACTTTAAACCTTTTGGGATAATGAAACCCTCTTAAAACTGAAAGCCCGAATTGTTTGGGCTTATGAGCTCGGCAACTCAGTGTAAGTCGACATCTCACGCCCGTAGTTGGAAGCTCTCATAACTGCCGTCCTCGAACCGTAGCCTTTCGCTCAGCCGAGAGGTTCGACGTCGTGTCGCCCGTGCGATCTGTGCTGGCCCAAGATATTACATTACTAACTTAAAAATGATATTGTGCTATATTGTATGGCAGCACATTATAGTTACGATTATATATATATATATATATATATATATATATTACACATGTATTACTCATATATCCTCGACCAGTTTTTGGGTTTGCAGGTTTGGGGCTCTGAGGGTTTTATGGTTCAGGGTGTGCGCCACGGGATTGGGGTTTGCACTTTGTGGGTGTTGGGGTTTTGGGCTTTAGTGTTCGTGCAAACCCGTACATATGTGGCAGTGTAGCATGCTTGAAGGTTGACGTATTTTTAAAAGGCATCCAGTTACTCGGCACGCGCTCATTTGTGCACCTGTCATGCATGCGTGCATGCATAGGCATTCTGGAACTGCGACACTGCGGCTGTTCTGAACAACATTCGGAAGGGATACTTGCCGCTTGAACTCTAGAAAACATCCTTTTCAAACAGAAGGTCCTTCTATGGACTCTTTTGTCAGTATTCTTAGTCTTACTAGACTTAGTATGAATATGAGTAGTATGAGTTTTGTTAGTATTAGGATTATTAGTATTACTAGTATTAAAATCATGAGTATGAATATTATTAGTATCAGTATGATTAGTCTTATCATTTCATCTTATAGCTCAAAGGCGAACCTCGGGCACTTAAGCACCACAATTCACCAGCATGCAAAGTGGCCCCTTCTCTCATAGGGACCCTGAGGGGAGTAAGGGTGCAGGGGGGGTAGCGTACTATACTCTCTTCAATAGGCCTTATTAGGTCCTTATTGTGGGCATTACGGTCCCCTACCCCCGCAAGCGTCCCTATGATTCTCCCCAAGGTGTGGCACGTCCTCAGCCGATCTCCGAAGGGGACGCAGCTGCTTCAGGACCCATGGATTGGTTTGCAAAGATGTGGATCCATTTCGACTGAAGCATCCAATGCACCAGGCAAAGACATCGTCTCGATTCTGAATTAAGCTTTGCTGCTCCGCTGACTCAGTCCGCTGACTAGCAGCAAGCGCACGTCTAAGCAAGAATTTGCTAGAGTATCAGACCCTAAGCCCTAAACCGTCGCCCTCAGAGCCTTTAGTTTAACAGTTTGGTCTCCACATGCAGCCAGCAGGGGTGCAACGCGTAGTACGGTGGGGTTGGGTGGGGGTGGGGATGAAGACGCTTGGTATCCGAGGTTCATCGAATGGTCGTGATACTGATAGAAGCCCACTGACGAACATCATGGCATAATCATGGGATGGCATGGGCCAGCATTGCCAAGTGATTGGTGGCAAGCATCGCCAAAGTCGTGCGAAGTCATATTTAGCGGTAGTAGTGGAGGTGGTGGTCGTGGTGGTGGTGGTGGTGGTGGTGGTGGTGGTGGTGGTGGTGGTGGTGGTGGTGGTGGTGGTGGTAGTGGTCGTGGTTGTCCTACGTTCACTTGCATTTGCAAGCACATTAGCAACCTTTTCGTGAGCAGCCGACTTGTCAGCAAGACAGTCTGTGTGCCAGTGTGTCCGCCGTGCCTTTCGTTCGACTATGAAGCCTCACGACCGTTACGGCTACGCAGAGGCCCTGTCTGCAAGGATGACGAAGTTCGCGGATGGGGAAGTTTGGCACATGGTTGCTGATGACGACGAAGAAGACCGCAGCATCAGTATGGAAGGCTTCAGATTCCCAGATCCAGTTCCGAGGCAGCAGATATCGACGGTGTACTTGGATGAACAGGGCATTCTTGGACACAGCCTTAGTGGTGAGGTCTTGTTCCAGATAAAGCGACGTCGCCTGCAGGCTGAGGTGTTCACCGCTGGAATGCTCTTGGAACTTATCGCAGGTGAGCTCGGGTGCGAGGCCGGAATTCTGCTCCAGGATGGCCGCGAGCTATCCATGTCCGACCCTGTCTATGCAGAAGGAGTTCTGACGCTGAAGCAGACATTTCGGGACTGTCGACCCCTGCTTTGCCGAAAGGTCCCTTATTGGTGGTATTGTGCTCCAAACTTCGTTGGCGGTGAAGTTCGCCCGGACTTTGACGACATGTTGGAACCCGTCCAGACTCTTAAGGAGTGGCGGACATGGGTGACCAGGACCAGTGGGGAAGACCCTTGTTGGATGGTTTATACCAAACGCGAAGTCATATCCTACGAAGCATGCAGAAATGAGCCGTTGAAGCCCTTCGGATATTTCCCTCACGCACCTTGCTGGAAGCTCCCGGTAGGAACCAGGCAGTGGGGAGGTGAGCGAAGTGATGTCTGGAGTACTTGTCTACAGCTGCCGGTGAGACGGCTGTTGGATGAGCACGCAGCCTCAACGCTCGACAGGCCGATACCCCGCTACCAGATGATCGTTGATCCCAACCAGTTCGTTCATGAGGCGGCTGAGGGTCCCCTGTGGGTGCCGTGCGAGTTTGATATTTCTGCAGCTGGCACTCCATCATTGGTGGGTGGTGTGCGAAGTCACGCGTATCCACACCTTGCCCAGCATGCTGCCCTTCCGGTCCTCTCTGCAGCTCTGCCGTTGTTGGCGAAGCTGCGTCGACCGCAGCTTCTCCTGGATGATCGGCGGCTGCAAGTTGTGTTTAAGGCACAGCGTATAATTGTTCCAGGAAATACTGGTGACAGCTCGGATACAGACTACGTCGGTCTTTGGCATGTCGATGGCCACAGGGAGAATGTCGCTGCCGTCGTACTGTACTACTACCATGTTGACCCGTCTCTTCGTGGTGGTGACATGGAGTTCTGTGGCCGCGAGCCCATGGATGTGTTGGGGTACGGCGATTGCAGGGTCAACATCGATGAATTGGGATCGGAGTCCCTGCGACTGGCCTTCCGAGGTACACGCAAGAGTGGCACGTCTACTGCGGTGCAGAACTGCCGGGTTCCAGTTGGCGAGGGCACCCTTCTGGTGTTTTCGAACTACCAGATGGCACACCGGGTACTTCGGTTGAAAAACACCTGTGCGACAGAGGCCTCACGCGACTTTGTGGCACTCTTTGTCCTTGATCCGTCTGCACCGGCCCTCCTTCCCGCAAGAAGTGTTCTGGCCTGGCCACACTTGCTGAGACGGACCCTGGCTGCTGTACGCATGTCAGTGTGTTGGAGTTCCTTGGCGTCTCGCAAACCGATGCCACGCGCAAGATGCAGCGGAACCAGCTACTTGCGGAGCAGTTGAGGCCGTCCGGTGAGTTTGCTAATGGAGGGAGAATCCACATGACCGGCAACGGATGCTTTACCATGATCGGCTGGCTGCATAGGTTGCTCGAAGGCGGCGGAATCCTGGACCCAGAAAGCTTCCGTGAGCGCAACCTGAGAGGTTTTCAACGCCTCGACGCACTGAACCTGGCCCCGGAGGGCTCCGACCGTGGTCTCTCCGAGGCTCTCTCGCTGCCTTCAGCAGAGCTGCAGCAAAGGCTGAAGGCAGTCGCAAGGCCGCAAAGAGAAGCCAGAAAGCCCGACTTCGGCTCCGGTAAAGGAAAAGGAAAAGGAGACAAAGGCGGCAAAGGCAAGGGAAAGGGAGAAGGACACAAAGGCGGCAAATGCCAAGGAAAGGGTGAAGCACGCAAAGGCGGCAAAGGAAAAGGAGAAGGACACAAAGGCGGCAAAGCCAAAGTGAAGGGAGAAGGACACAAAGGCGGCAAAGCCAAAGGAAAGCGCGAAGGACACAAAGGCGGCAAAGCCAAAGGAAAGGGCGAAGGACACAAAGGCGGCAAAGGCAAAGGAAACGGAGAAGCAGACAGAGGCGGCAAAAGCAAAGGATACTGATCGGTTAGCTCTGAAGAGCGCGAAGAGGCCGACAACACTCATCGACGAAGCTCCGGGACAGCCTCAATACGAGGGTCAGGTTTTCAAAGAAGGCTTTGGTAAATTGAGTGTGTTCATCCCCGTGCAAGCAGGCAGGCACGACTATGCAGCGTACGGCGTGCAGTGTACAGGCACATCAGACTTGCAGTGGTGGTCAGCAACAAGAGCGCTGGCCTATCTCATGATCGGGATTGCTGCTGATATTATTCTCTAGTGTTGCAGTGGTTGCACTGTTGATGATGCAATCCTTCATTAACTTTATTAATGGCCCTAGACGATTGGAATAATGGTCCGTCTCGTGAGTGTCGTCATTGCCGTTACAGGATCCGCAGCTCAAGACTGCCACGATGGAGATCTCAAGTGAGGCTCGGGGCTCAGTTCTGCAGCTATTCTAGGGCTTGCTCTCGTATTGCAGTGTTGTGAAGTAATAATCCTCATACTGCTAGCAATACTAGCAAGACTAATGATTCTAATATTTCTAATTCTAATTCTAATACTACTAATACTAATAGTTACAAGAAATATTAATACGAATTCTAGTACTATAATAATACTAATAAAAGAGTCCGTACAAGGACTGCAGAATGGCGCGGTCGTTTGGACAAGCTTGTTGTAAAGCAGGGTGATTTGTTGATGAAACACAACTTACCCTGAGTCCTAAACCCCAAACCGTGTTGCGCAGGGTTGCAGGAGAGCGAGCGTGGTGAGTGCTAAAGGCCGCTTTGATGGAGGCCGTAAACCCTACATTTCATACCCTAACGCGCAGCCGTGACTAGGTACCGACACGGAAGCCTGCCTATACCATAGCCTCCGTGTTGGGGCACCTTATAGGATCCTAAATCTAAGACTGGTTAGCCCAGAAAAAGGCACTAGAATGGAGAATATAGGTATCTTTCGTCCTGTGGCACCGAGGTCTTCTCCCCACCCCCATGTACATCCCCTGGCCTCGCGTACAGAGTAGTGTCAACTCTTCGGCTGCATCCTTTGAGAGACCGGTACGGTACCTATGTGGGTGGTTGTCGAAATTGTGGTCCCGCTTTGGGTCCCTATTATAATACGGCACCTAGTAGTTATGGTACCGAAAACAGGGCCATAATTTTGACAACTACCCATGTATGAAAGCCGGATGTTCCATGAATGCCCACTTAGCTTGGGTCGTGTCCACTTGCCCGCAACTCTCGCGCACTAAGGTGTTTCTAGTTTCGACATCTTGGGTTTGACCATTTGAGGGCTGCATGCTTGGCGAACAGCATGATGTCGCCGGTTGCTTCGTATTATGTGGGCCTTATCAGCACTCGGCTCCAGAATTGCATATAGCAGCATGTAGGCGCTGAAATGACCTGAGATTCGTGAGCACAACTCGACTTCTGTCACCGCAAAGCGCGTTATTGTCAATTGTCCAGTCTGCTATTAAACTTTCCGACACTTACACGAATGGGCATTCGTATATAATCAGCGGTATGTTCGTACGTATGTATGTATGTATGTATGCACGTATGTATGCATGTAATGCAAGCCTGCATGCATGCATGCAAGCTTGCGTGATAAACATGTGTGCGTCTGTAAAGGCATGTACGGAGTCACAAGTGATAGCCTTGTGCATGTATACAGACACATACACACACACACACACACACATGCACGCGCACCGGGCGGCGTACTCCGGTTAGACTGTTAAACAGCGATCATGGATGTGAATCCCTTTTGTTCATCATCCGGTTCACTCGGGGCAGGGGGGCGGGAATTCTCAGCTTGTAGGCAATTGCATTATAATGGTTTTAAAGAGAGCAAAAACTGGACGTAGGATGCAAGGACTGATGCAGTGTTCCAACTCTTGCATGGCTGCATCATTATTGAATAGCGAGTATTGTCGTGTACGCTTATGCGGCACTGCACCTTTGCTTGCACATTTGCCCTGTTGGTGTGGTGTCATTGTAACTGTCGCTTGCTGATTATTCGGATTGCATGTAGCATTCTCACACACTCTACCCACTGCCATGTTTCAAGTACAGCGCAATTCTTAACATCACCCCAGATAATCACACATCAGTCTAAATCCTAAACCCTAGACCGTACAAGTGCACTTTTCGAAGCCCTCCGTGGCAGGGCAAAAGCCGGGGACTCGACGATTGCGCTGCTTCTGTGGAGTCTGTGGTTCAGGGTTTAGGGTTCAGGGTTTAGGGTTTAGGGTTTAGGGTTTAGGGTTTGGGAGGGTCAGCTGCCAACAGCTGCCTGTGGCGTGGGCGTTCTGAGGTTTGGTCTGTGGAGCGAGCCGATTCTGACGCAATGCCCCATGAGAATCGTAATAATAATAACAACAATCATAGTCATAATAATAAGAATAATAATAATGATAATAGTAATAATAATAATAATAATAGTAATAGTAATAGTAGCAATCCTGAAAACAGTAGTACTACCTCCCATGCTACCTCCCTAATCCCCAGCTCCTACGCCCCTAAACCCTTAACTTGTGAAGCCCAAACCCAAAGCCGCTGAACGTTAAACACCTCATACAAGAAATCCTAAAAGCCATCTGAAAGCCCTGAACCGCCTGAGCCTTAAACCATCTAGCACAACGCCAACACACAACGGCTGCTGCCCAGCCCGTCCTCAAATCCAGCGTGAGATCAAAGCGAAAGAGGCCTTTGAGGGACCCAGCTGGACGTGGGGTTTTACAGAACATTAGAAGGGTGTCATTTATCCTAAACCCTGAACCCTAAACCCCATAACCGTACATCCTATAAACCCTAAGCTTCCTAAACCCTACACCTACACACCCCAAACCCTGAGCCCTAAGCCCTTAGTCAAAGGGTTTTGGTGGATTTTCGATGAGTTTCAATCCTGAGTCCTGGGCCTTGCGATTGTAGTGGTTTGGGACTTTGGCGCTTCGGTCACTTTTTTTGAGGGTTCCCTTGAGGGATCTATAGGGTTCTGAAAAGGCTTTCGGGGTTTAGGATCTGGGTTTTCGGGTCTAAGCGTGCTTCCTCCCATGTTTGAAGTTTGGTTTTGGTTGGCAAATTCGGTTTCGCCGCGTCTGGTCTTCAAGGTTCCTGTGTCGGATGAGCATGGTTTGGTGAAGATTCCTATTTCACCATTTGGGTTTTAGGCACGTCTGCGCTTCAAGGCTTGTTGGTATCAAAGTCTTTTGCAGGGAGGGGGGCCAGTACCCACAGACGCAGTACTTTACTGAGTAGCTGTCACAACCCTGATCGTTTTCAAGCTGGGTAGCAAAACCAGTGCTAGCGATCACTCAAATGGCAAGAGCAGTAAGAAAAAAGCATGAATCATCGGGATCAAGACCCGAAGATACACTCGGGTGCGTCTAAGACCGGTTGGTGAATTTGACAGGCCGCCAGTCGACTGTTGGTGGTTTCCGGGATAGCAGGCTTTGACAACTGATCCTGTGGCGTGAAATCAAAGAGCCTGCCCCCCCCCCCCCCCCATGCATAATAATCTAGGGCCCTTAACAAGTAGAATAAGGTTTTAGGGGTTCCCTATTATAGTTATAGTATGAGTGCAATGATATACCCCCAAGACCCTATTCTAATCATTGAGGCCCCTACATTGAACCGAGGCACCGGGATTCGGAATGTACCCTGGCTTGGCTTGAGATCCCACAGGCTGCCATCAAGAGCCTTGCGAGCAAGTACTGCTCTGTGCAGAAGCGACGAAAACGACACTACGGTGGGTACCTCAGACAAAGCCCCAGACCCAGAAGCCTCCATAAGCCTCCGATTATCTCTACTCTCTATGTCTACGATGATCTTACTTCTATAACTGTTACTGCTTTCATTGTCATTGCGATATCAATGCAAAGCCTCAAGGGCCCGGCTTTCATTTCACGGAGCTTGTAGTGCACCGGAGACGAGGCGGCATGAACTGGAGCTTGCTGCGCCGGGCGCTTGGTTGGGACTCGCGAGTCCTTACACGCAGCATCTGCTGTCGTTGTGATTACTACCGGTACTCCTGTTCTTGTTTTACTGCTTGTACTGCTACGTTTGCTCTTGAAACATGGGACCCGTCCTTTGTTATTGCTACTATGAATATCTACAAGTCTATGCGACTACTGTTACGTTGGCTGCTGGTCGTCGTGTTCGTCGTCGCCTCTTCCCCAGCGCGCTTCTGTGTCGAGGCTCCTACAGAGATTCCGACTCAGAGGACGCGGATGCCAGCGACGAGCTCTCTGAGGCTGGGGGTGGGGTTACTATCTTTCAAGTCAGCTATAGTATGATATGGGCGTGGGTAAATAGACCCATGGGGTTAATCGCTGCAAAAATGAGGGTCAGCCGGTATCTACCTATAGTCTCCATTGTAGTTCCCTTTTTTCGGTTAACCAAAAAAAAGGAACTACAATGGAGACGAGAGGTA